ACTCTGTGCATCTGGAACCCAGAAAAAAGCAGTGATAGCTATTTTGTTTGTGGGCAATGTTAATTTCAAACCAAGAAGGAGCAAAAAAATATAAATACGGTCACTACATACTCATTAGTGGGAAACTTCTAGAGGAAGAGGTAACAATTACAAATGTTTGCTCCAAATGCAGGAGCACACAGTTACATAAAACAAATATTAATAGACATGAAAAATCAAGTAAGCAATAACACAGTTATAGTGGGAGACCTAAGCACACCATTATTACAAGTAGATAAATCAACCAAAAAAATCAGTAAAGAAGTATCTGAACTCAACCAACCCTGTGAACAAATAGACATAGTAGATGTTTACAGAGTGTTCCACCCAACATCAAAGTACACATTTTTCTCTGCTGCACATGGTATGTTCTCTAAAATGGACCATATGCTAGCCCATAGAACATGCTTAAGTAAAAGCAAAGGAATTGAAATTATCCAATACATATTATTTGACAATTATGCAATGAAATTGGGAATGGTAAAAGAAATTGCAAAACATCTATGAACACATGGAAATTAAATAACACCCTCCTGAACAACCAGTGGGTCACAGATGAAATTAAAGAAGAAATTAAACAATATATACAATTAAATGAAAATGCAGATGCAACATAAATTGTGGAACACCATGAAAGAAGTCTTTGGAGAGAAATTTATACCAGCGAATTCTCACATGAGGAAAACGGAACAAGCACAAATAAACAATCTCATGTTGAACAACGAGCTTCTAGCTTCTAGAAAAAGAAGAGCAAGTCAAGCCCAAAGTCCATACAGGGAAGGAAATTATAAAAATCAGAGCAGAAAATAATGCAATTGAGATCAAGAAAACAATACTAACAATCATGACTCGATACATTGTTTCTTTGAAAGATTAAAAAAATTGCTAAACCCTTAGCTAAACTTATCAAAAAAACCAAAGAAATATTAAATTCATGCCATGAGGAATTAAAAGCATAAAATCATTTCACATCCTGTGGAAATTCGGAAGATCATCAGTACCTGCTTCAGAAATCTTTACTAGGATAAAAAACACAGAAGAAATAGACAGACTCCTAGACATATATGAATTCTCAAAATTGAATCGAGAAAATATGGCAATTCTGAACAGCCCAATATCCGTTACTGAGGTTGCACATATAATTAAAAACTTACCAACAAAGAAAAGCCCAGCTCCTGATGGATTCACTGCTGAGTTCTGAAAGAAATTTAGAGAACATTTAATGCCAATACTCCTCACTCTCTGGTGAAACTGAGAGGGAAGGGATGGTTCCTAATTTATTCCTAGAGCAAGGATTACCCTGATACCAAAACCAGAGAAAAAGCCAATGAAAGAGACATCCACAGACCAATATCTCTAATGAATATAGATGCAGAAATACTCAATAAATAGCAGTCTAGGAGCTCTTCCACATCTGTTTTCCCCACCATGGGTTAAATTGTGATGTTTTTGAACTGAAGTGTGAGCTGTCTTTTGTAGAGTGGCAATTCATTCATCCGGGAGTGTCCATCAGAGGCTGGGTCCCTTAGTGGTTTGCTCTTGCTTTACCTAATTACCTTCTTCACATATGTAGCAATTGTCCCTTCATGGCCACCATAGTGCCAGGAGGGATGCCCACCAGGACTTCCTAATGGTCTATCACTGTGTTTTCATCCCAGGAGCCGCCACCTTTGAAATTACCTCTGCCTTGCTGTGTCCTAGGCTGATGAGGTCTGTGACTTTTGAAGTTCATGGAAGTGGATGATTGCCACTTGGATGGACTTCCAGACAGAGGCAAAGAGAGGTCAAATTTCCTCTTTGATTTTAATGATTTTTTTCCTTCTGTTGTGAGAAGATATCTGTTTATATCATTTCATAAATGTGAACCATGTCAAGGGCATATCTAGAGTCCATGTACGAGTTTATCTCCTTTTTTAGCCCAGTTGAGAGCCTTAAGTTCAAATCATTGTGCAGACCATTCCTGTAAAAGAGCCCTGGTCAAAACAACCTCATCCAAGGTGACCACTATCACTGACTGACTGGACACACCATGTCCCAAATGAGGGGATGGCAAAGGCTTAAAGAAAAGAACTAAGTGGTATGATTTTAGGCCTCCGAGGATGATCAAAACCATCTACACAATTTGAGATTATCTGGGGCCTGAGACAAAGAAATTGTCTAGGAAGCCGATATTTATTTTATTTTCAACCAGAGAAGGGATTAGAGGACCTTGGGCTTTTCCAAGTAATAAATTCTGTTACATTTGGAGAACTAATTCCTCTCCAGATCAACCTTTACTCCAGCAGTGAGAGACCTACAGCAGTCTTTATCTAGTGACCTGGGATGAGAGTCAGGCATCCTCAGCTATAGCTTTGTCATGTCCTTTGAGATGTCACAGCATCCTATCTCTGGAAGGAGAGTTTCAAAGTTTTAGAGTGTTGGTTATCTGTCTCCAGTTGATTCAAACATCATCTTGCTCTTGGGGAAAGTGCAGGGTTAAAACAGAGGGAGGCTGATGGGCATGGTGACAGGAATTCCTTGGTAAGGTGTCCTCCCAGGCTGTTAAATTGTGCCTCATGGAAGGGACAAAAGGTGAGAGTCCTAGCTGCCCCAGTGATAGTGACCGTTTTCTGGCAGAGAGGACTTTGAAGGCAGAGAGTTCTGTTACATCACATTTTTAATGTCCATAGCCTTTATAACTCACATATTGGTAAGGGCTTTATCAGGCTTCTGTGTAGTAACAGTGACATATCGATGAGCCTTTTGTCTTTCCCTCGTTTGATGTCTTGGAGAATCACTTGAATGATTTTTTGTATCTAGGTGATGCAACCTTTGGGAAAGGTCATGGCAACTATTTCATCAGGACTGACAGTCCAATTTTTCCTCAGTCAAAACGTGGAACTCAGGAGGAATTGCTGGCAGCCATTTCAAGTGGCTTTTAGATGAGACCATCTGACCAGGATAGAAAGCAGAAGGCTCTGGAGGAAGGGGCCTCTGTGTCCACTGAAAGACAATGACTAATTGAACTGGAACCAGTTCAGCTCATTGGAATCAGACGATTTGGAGTGGCCAGTGAAGCTGTAGGTGTTGGCCACCACTGCAGCAGCCAACAAAGGTGTCAAGGCAGAAAAGTCCTTTGACCTGCAGTCAGGGATTCTGGGTTTTGGCTAATTAGTTCCCATCTCTGACTTACTACAGGTCATTTTGTACTGTTGAATGATGGCACAACAGACAAAGGGCTGGTACCCTTCAGAGAGAGACCATTCAGATACCCACTTGACCACACCCTTCATGAGGATTTAGGTGCAATTTAGCTAATGAGAGTGCAAGACCTCGTTTATGCATATGTCAATCACCAGGGAACGGCCTGTGAGGGACCAATCAGTCACCACTGCCAGTGCTTCCCAAGCTTCGTTCAGAGATAGACACCCTATAGTTTGTGCTATCTGTTCAACTCACTCACATATTCATTCAATAGGTACTCAGAAGTTAAATATTCCAACCCTTTTCACCTGAATGTGGTCCTGAGTAATGAGATTTGATTGAGTTCCCCTTCTGTTGGAGCTGAGCATAACTGACAGACTAACTGGTACCCCTGGAGGAATTATCTTATCTGATGACTATACTAGACTGTGTCCTCCTCTCTTTTAGGTCTGATGTGAGACATTCAGTGAGGAACCGAGAATCCTCTTCCACTCTCCAAGGGCATCCAAGAAACTTTTAGGGCACAGCTTCATGTCAGGATCTGGAGAGGTCCTTGCTCCATTTATGGGCTATGAGGGCTATGACCAGTGACCAAAGAGCTCAGCACAGCTGGTCTTCCCAGCTAATACACCAGATGCAACGGTAAAAAGAAACACCTAAATGTCACCCAGGATTTGGAGGCAGATTTATTTAATATCAGACAGGCACTGATAGGAAAGGAATTATCTTTCAAACTGTCAGGCTCCAAAGGCTTGGGGAGGGAGATGTTTATGGATTCACAAGCAAGAAGGTAGAGTAACTTGGCTGTCTTTGACTGGTTCTTACAATCTGCATCCTAGTGACCAGTTATGCATCACAGAGATGGGCCATTTCTAGGAGACAGTAGTAACAGGAACTGTAACAGAAACTATTACCTGGGAGACTGACAGACAGGCTGGGGTACAGTTTCTGCTACACATCTATGAGCAACAGGCAGCTCAATAAAATCTTAATGCAGATTGCAGGTGGCAAGACAGAGCACCACAACCTTAAACTTGTATTTATCATTAACTTTCAGCAGCAGGACTTCAAGGGCTCCTCTCTAGGGAAAGCCGCCGTATTCAAATTCTGTTTATATTCTTTAAATATGGCACCCAGGCAAAGACACACACACACACACACACACACACACACACACACACACAGAGTGACTACAGGAGAGAAAGATCAACAAAAACAAAAAGACACATGCTACATAATACATACAGACGCTGCTATGCTCAAACACCCCACAAAACAAGCAGATACAGCAAGGCTTGGAGACATAGGTCTGTTGTGCCAACTACCCTTCCCAGGAGCTAAAGATCAGCCTTGACAACATGAATAGATTGCTTCCAACACACTCTCTCTCTCTCTCTCTCTCTCTCTCTCTCTCTCTCAATGAAAATCCTACCAGCTTCAGGCTACTGATAGTTAATAAATATGATAATTTAGTATGCAGAAACAATAATCCAGAGTGAGGAAAGATGCGTGTATTAGCACAGAAGGATGGACGTCAAGGTGGTGGAAACACAGGGCAACTACAACAGTACTTTGTCTCTGGGACTCAGAGTCCCAAGCTTGCTGTTGATTCTGGCTTCCGTTCTGCTCAAACACCTCCCCTGGCTCCCAGTCAGCAGGGACCCTGCGCTCACCCAGAGGCAGCAGGGTCTTGGGCTCAGGGTGCCCAGCCTTGCTCCTCCCCGCTTCACACCCGCCCACCGCTCCCCAGCTCCCCCTGCTGAGAATCACACACAGGAGACCACGCACAGTTTATTCCGGAGTCTGCAAAGGCGAGGGGGCGGGGTCGACAGGGGCTCACTGCGCACGCGCGCTCAGCGGCTCCACCCGCAGCCACAGCCCGCCCTCCGTGCGCAGGATCAGCTCCGGCTTCCTGATGGGCTCCGCGTCGTCTGGCAGCGCGCGGAAGCGCAGCAGGGTCCGCGCCAGCACCACCTTCATCTCGGCCATGGCGAAGGCCTGCCCGATGCAGTTCCTGCGGGCGGAGAGGGAACCGTGAGCGCTCTGGTCAGCTCCTGGGACTGCGAGGGGCGCTCAGGGTGCGTGGGCCCAAGTGGGCTGTGTGTGTCCCCTGAACCCTGCTGAGACTCCAGGGACAGGGAGGAGCCCCTGACCTCACCGAGGAGCCCTCTTGCGCCTACCCAGCCGTTGCTTTTATGGCTTTGCGCACGACCCGCGCAGGGGCAGCCGGAAGCCAGCCCGGATTCCCCAGCTGTCCTGCCAGGACCCCACCCTAACCAGCCCATCCTCCTCTCGGACACCTGCTGCACCCACCTGGGCCCCGCGGAGAAAGGGATAAAAGCCAGCGGTGACCTGTCCTTGATGTTTTCTGGGTCAAAGCGGAAGGGGTCATAGACCTGCAGAGAAACCAAGCCCTGGCTGCTGGGTGAGGTCTTCCAGCACAGACAGGAGGAGCAGAGGGAAATGTCCAGGGTCCCAACCCACCCCCTCCACTGGGATCCCCGCAGTGTTCAAGCAGGAGGGGTGAGGAGGAGAAGCAGCACCTCAGGGTCCGGCCACACGGCTGGGTTGTGATGGGTTCCAAAAATACTGAGGAAGCAGCTAACACCTGTGGGCGAGAGGGCAAGGTCAGGACAAGGACCCATGGCCTGATGGACCCTGATTCCTGGCTGGGTGCTTCCAGCTCTGACGATGTGGGCACCTTTGGGGACGACCCGGCCATCCGGGAGCACAACGTCCTGGGTGCAGCGGCGCGAGATGCCAGTGACCGGGGGATGCAGGCGCAGACTCTCCTTGAGACACATGGTCAGGAAGGGCAGCTGGGTCAGGTCGTCCCTAAGGAAACCACAGCCCACAGTTATCCAGGGACAAACACAAAGTCCGCCAGCCCTGTGTTCCCCTGGTGAATCATTGTACCATATAATAATATATAGAGTGTGTGGTGGTGCACGCCTGTCATCCCAGCACTCGGGAGGCTGAGGCAGGAGCGTGGTTGTGAGTTCGAGCGTTGTTGTGAGTTAAGTTTTCTGTCCCAGAAACTTAAAGCTTTTTCCTTGCTAGCCAGGGAGGGTACTGGCCAATACCTCTGGACTCAACTGCTGTGCTGATCAGGCAATAATGGGAAAAATCAGCAAAAATGTAATCACTCTGCCCACGCTGGAAAGCGGAGCCCTGAGAGGGGACTCAGGAGCAGGACCGCACTCACCATTCAACCTCCTCGGACTCGCGGCCCCTCAGGACCTCCTGCACCTCCTGCCGGCAGCGCTCCTGGTATTCTGGGTGCTTGGCCAGGTTGTACAGGACCCAGGAGAGACCACTGGCCGTGGTGTCGTGGCCTGAGAAAGAGCCAGGCAGGCTCTGGTCTCTGAGCTGCTTCAGCACCACAGGGTGGACAGCGCCCAGCCATTGAGACCCGGGGAGGAAGCAGGCACAGGATGGAGAGGAGATCCAGGGCCACCCGCCTCCTTCCTGGGCTGGGGAGACCCGTGCACAATCTACAGACCCACACGGGCTCTCACCCTCGAACATGAAGGTGTCGGCCTCTGCCCGTATGTCCTCATCTGACAGCTCCTTTCCATCTTCGTCCTGGAGAAGAGGTGAGAACCTCTGAGCCACACAGCTTTCAGGGCTTCTAGAAATCAAGTCCAACCACACCACTTGGTTTCCTTAGTTACCGAATTATCTTTTAATCTAAAGGATCCGAGCATCCTCATGTGTTCAGAGGTGGGGCTTTTAGGAGGCAGTTGCTCATGAGAGCTGAAATTTCACTGCTGTATGAATCTAGTGTTGGTGGGGCTGGGGGTTTAGCTCAGCGGCATAAGTGCCTGCCTTGCAAGCACGTGGTCATGAGTTCGATCCCCAGTACCGATAAAAAAAAAGTTCCAGCTCAGCCTGGGCAATTTACCAGCTTACTGAGTCTCTCTCACAAAGGGCTGTGCGTTAGCTCAGTGTGAAGATCCATGCCAACAAATTAGTTTTCTCGGATATTTGGTCAGGACCATGAAACCCTGGTTACCAGCCTCTATCCCCAGAGACCCTATCACACAGCCATCTCTGCAGCTTCCTTGATTCCCCTTCTGGTTTGATTGGCAAAGGAACGATCCATTAATATCTTTATGTTTCTATATGATGAGCGTTTTCTGAACCAAGGCAACCTGAGTTACAAGACAGCCAGCAGGTGTGATTGCACCTTGGAACTTAGAGATTAACTCAGGTAATAAATCCATAAAATCTCTTCTCCCCTAGAGGCATGTGGGAGACTTTCACCCATGCACTGAAGAGAACTTGTTATATTCCAGGACAAAGTTCTCTCTGCCACTTTCTCTTCATCTCCCTAAGAGAAGCAGCAGAATTTCTAGGTGTCCTCTACAAACTCCAGGGCTCATAGCGTACAGAGATTTTTTTTCCTGGATTGTAAACCTTGCTGCATTTACAGGTAAAACCTCTGCCTCACCTAGGGAAGAGAGAGTTGGAAGGGAAGTCATCCTGAGAGTTCCTGCCTGGCTTCTGCTATCACTGTGAGGAGTAAATCAGGGCTGCCTGATCACAGAGATTGGTGCACCTGTCAACGTAGGTATAGCCAGAGATGACGGAGATATTATAGATATAAATATATAAACACGACCCTGACTGATTTCCTTGTCAGGGTGTCACTCTTTCAGACTTAATAATCCATGCCTCATGCATGTCAGAGCATCCTCAACAATGTCCAAGCTTGCCCCCCTCTCCTTCTCCAATGACCTCCAGAAATCCCGAGTGCTTATGGGAAAGGTTATCTGTGTTTGACATTAGACTGACATTGGACAGCAGGACCCAGGCTACATCTCCAGAATCCCACCTTGCTCGTCAGGAGCACATCAATGAAGTCCAACGTTTTGGCCTTGGCCTTGGCCTTGAGGAAGTCATCCACTCCCTGATTCTTGAGGGTGCGACGCCGCTCTTGGACGACAGCGTCTGTGAAGTCGTGCACCACGCGGCAGGCCTTGCAGAAGCGCCGTCCGTCAGGGCTGAGATTGTACAGGAAGTCCGTGTGCAGAAGGATCTGGTTGACCCTCTTAGCCGTGAGGCCGCTGAGCTCCAGAATGGCGGCAATGTATTCGCTGGGCTTCCTGCGGGGTGGAGGGCAGAAAGGGAGGCAAAGCTTTGCATAACCAGAGCCTCAGCTGGGCTTCCTGTCGGTAGTCAGTGGCTATGTCTCATGGATAAACTGCAGCTCGAGGCACAAGTGGAGCTATGCCTTGACGCTCCACACCCCCTTTCTGGGCTGCACCCCATCTCTTTGAGCTGCCTCTACTTCCTAGTCACAAAAAATAGTGGAGCTAGTGTTCCTTTCCTTCTCTTTGACCCAGCATCCGGCCCTGGTCCTCCTCCTTTCTGAAAATCTCCACATGTTGCTTTCCTCTCACTGGTCCGGGAGCTAATAGTTCAGTCTCTTTCTTGAATTCTGTGCCGCTCCATCCAGTATCTATGTGGCCATCAAAGCTTGGACCTGATCATGCCCATCATCAAGTCTGCTATGGTTAGGAAGTGTCCCAAGGAGGGACATATGTCCAAGGATTGGCCACCAGCCTGTGGTCCTGTCAGGACCTGGTGAACCTCTGAAAGGTGAGGTTTAATGGAGGGGAGTTAGATAAGCAAAAGTGCACCCCTTTGGGGATATTGGGAGCCATCACTTCTTGCCTCTCTCCTCCTGACTCCTTGAGGTTGAAACCTTCTGGAATTCCCAATCCCGCCATGATGCCCCGCTGCAAAACTCCAAAAGCCACGAAGTCCATTGATTAGTGATGGAAGCCATTAAGACTGTGACCCAAAACAAGCCTTTCTTTAATGTGAGAAGACTATTTAGGGCATTTAGTCATAGTATCACAATTCTGCCCAACACAAGTTAACATCCTCAGTGGTCCCCAGAAAGACCAGGAGACGGCTCACACTCACGGAGGCTTTCCAACATTCTTATGAGCTCCCCCAGCCTGCATCTCCAACCTCATTTCCAAGCTGCGTCCTGCCCAGCTCACCTTTCTCCTTTTATTCATTGGGGCCCCTCTGCCGCTACTCAAAGGATTCCACTTTCATGGAAGGTCCACTTTCTCACGTGCCTTCCTTACCATTCAATGCCCGGGTCTTATCCACCTCCTCCAACAAGGCTCTTCCAACTTCTTGGGTCCATCCCCCCTCTTGCACCTCCCCCCTTGGCTCCCTGGCCCAGGGTCCCAGCCCAGGAAAGGACTCACTCTTGACAGTTGCTCTCAAAGCTGAACACGCATTTCTGCAGACTATCCAGGGTCATCAGGCTGATGTGCTCAAACATGTCCAGGCGGGTGCTGCCCTGGGAGATCAGGCGCTGCCACTTGGCCTGATTGGAGAGAGAACAGGGGATGCCACTGAGCCTCGGCTCCTCTAAGCTCCTCTCCATCCCTAACCACCCAGCTGGATTCTCCAAGCAGCCTCTTGGTCTTCTGCTCCAGGGAACACCAAGCTTGGATGTGAACTGTTACCATTAGGAGACACAAACTCAAGACGTGGAGTTTGGGGCTGGAGGTTTAGCTCAGCGGCATAAGCGCCTGCCTTGCAAGCAGGCAGTCGTGAGTTCGATCCCCGGTACCGATGAAAAGGAGAAAGACAAAAAAAAAAAAAAAAAAGATGTGGAGTTTGGAGCCCTGAGTTCAGATGCCACATCAGCCCCCCACACTCTGCTCCCTTGGTCAGTTCGTTCCTCTCCCCCTCGCTCCACCTGTCAGATCTTCAGTTTGTTTAGTTGACCTGCATTGGTTCCAGTAAACTAGGACAGACTGTCTGCTCTTCACCTGTTAGCTCACATACTAGCTGGGCAAATTTTATAAGCTCCCTCTTATGGCTTGTATCAAGATGTCCTCCAAAACCTCATGCAGTCACAGGTGGGGTTTTCTGCAGCTGGCTACACCTAGGGTGTGTGATGCTGGGGTTAAGGGTGCCCCACCCTGTATCTGGGTGACACTGTCCAAAGGGCGGGTGGCCTGGATGGAATAGAAAAGGAGACAGAAAGGATTTTCTGCTTGGCTGTCTCCTGCCTGCTTCCCATACAATGCTTCTCATTTGTGACTGAAACCTCCACAAACTGTGAACCGAAATCATCCATACCTCATTTAACATGGAGTATTGAGTATTTTGTCTCAGCAATGAGAAAAGGTAACTGAGACACTCTCTAATCTCCGTGATGTCCATGTTTTCCATCTGTGATGGAAAAAAGTAATTTCTACCTCACACAGTGGTGAAAATCAAACCGGGCAGCACATATGATGGAATTATCAGAGGACGTCACTTTTAATATATGTGAACTACTCAGTACATTTCCACCTGTCTTTATCTCCTTTGTGATAAGTCACAAAAATAGCCCTGCTTTGAGAGATTCCCGCTTATCTGTGTGACTCCTACGGATTTGGGTGCTTGGAGAACAGAAGAAAACCAACAAGAAGCCCGTGATGCTGGCCCTAGTCACGGTCTGTCTTGTATTCCTTCACGAAACCAGATCAAAAAACCCATTGGGACTTAGAGCCGGTCCCATTTCACACCTACTACGCGATTAAAGATATCATAGGTTCATATTCATAGTGTTAATTGTTTTATATTTAATCCTATTTTCCCCGACCTCCTCGGAGACCCAGACAACTGCACACCAGGTAACCCCTTAAATCCTCCTTCAGTATCAAATTGGAATGATTTCATGTACATGATCCTCCACCCAATTCCTAATAAACTTGTGTTCTCAGTTTTAATCCTAGCCCTATTTCCAATTTTACACCTATCAAGACAACATTGCCCCCTCCGCCAGGGCCTTCTGTGAATTTCAGGGGCAGACTAATCTACCCTTCCATGAATTGGAGGTCAACCAGTTGACTATCCTTATATTTTCACTGGACAAGTAATATCTGTTATTCATTTCTCTATCATCTTAATTCTTTTCCCGTTAAGAAATATAAAATAAAACACTTGAATGGAGGTGGTGGAGATGAGGAGACAGAACTCACATAACCCAACGGGCATGGAAACCTCCTCTCACTCCAGAAAGACCCTGTCCCTCTGGTGCGACCCACTTCACGGTGCCCTCAGAAGGGAGAGTCACAGAGATCAGAGTCTGTGCGTCTCTCTGAGGCCATGCTGAATCAGCCTGAAGCTGGACAGTAGCCACACGTGGAGGGAGGGAACGGAGCTAGGACCAGGGAAGCTCCCGCTCTGGTCTGCAGCTGACTGGACACTGAAGGATCCCACTCCTGGCCAGAAGAGCCAGCCCGGCCTACACCATCCATCCTCAACACTGATGGCTGTAATCAGGGAGTCTGGGAATGGTTGGCTCCTCAGCAATGACTTCTACGTAATCTGCATGATTCCCGTGTCCTGTGTACAGGACTTCTGCGTGGGACATGTGGAACCAGTCTGTTCTGGGCACCCACTGTGTTCCACAGCCACGACTCCATGACCTTCTCCGGGCCATCTCTAGAGATTTTTATCCACATTTGACTGATGAACAAACCAAAGTCTGAGAGAAAAAGTGCAATGGCCTCAAAGCAACCCCATGGAGCGAGGACCCCCTCGGACCTGGTCTGTCTGTGGTGCTTTCTGCCTCTGGACTGCACCCAGAACCCTGGGCACAGGGACTCACATGCATGACATTCACGCTGTCATTGAAAATCTTCATGTAGGGCTTCAGGATGTTGAAGTGGAAGGCGGGTGTCAGCATGCGACGGTGGCGGCTCCACTTGTCACCGGCACTCAGCAGGAGCCCATCCCCTGCGGGGCAGCCCTGGGCAGTGGGCAAGGGCAGCTCCTCCCCTGGGCCCCCGGGCTGTCCCCATCCCCTTCCCCTGCAGGGACTCACCCACCCAGGGCTTCAGGAAGCCATAGAAGAGGTCATCTTTGGCTGCAACCTGAGCTAAAGGGAAGGAGAAAAAACGGGGACCATGAAGGAAGGGAGAAGATGGGCTTTGGGAGGAGCTTGAGGGTCTCAGTCGGGCCAGGGGGAGTCTTTACTTCTCCTGTCCAACCCCAACATGGCGAAGTGGAAGCCAGGCACAGGCAGCAGGGTGGAGGGGTGCAGAGGGGCAGCATCAGCAGGTGGGAGCACAGGTGCAGCCTAACACAGGACACCCCACCTCATCACGGCTCCTATGTAGTCCAACGTGCTCCGCCCGCATGCCCAGAAAACGCTCCTTGAGACCCTGCTGCAATCCTACAATGTGCAATTCTCCCTGCACCCTTGACATCTCCTGCCCTAGACTGGATTAGCACGTTCTGGTATGAGCACAACATACGTGACGACCGTGACACACTGTTCTGTGCTACACAGCCTGGTGGTCCAACAGGGAGGCTCACAAACCATTCACAGACAGTATTTAAATACAGTCTGATTAGTATCTCAGATGGGAGCTTTCAGGTGCTATGCACAGGCAGCTGGAGAGAGAACCAGACACCAGCCTTTCCTGTGAGTCGGCGCCACTTGCAGACTTCGGAGGAGGAGAACAAAAACCAACAAGAAACTAAGCCCTTGCTGTGAGTTGGCACCAGGCACGGGGCACTGTTAGTGGGTCAGACGCCAGGGCCTGCTGGTGCGTGTGCTGGGAGACAAGAGGAGCCAGGGTCCTCCTGCCCGCTGGGTATTTTCATTGCTGTGTTTGGTTGGGTTTTATTCTGTTTTATCTTGTTTGGTTGCATTGTATCTGATGGCATGGCAGCTATTTCAAGGAGAACAAGATATATTATGGTAGCTGTTTGGGATTTACTATTATCTTGTTTCGAAGTGCCTTAAATTACCAAAAATAAAAAAATAGTCCAGATGTTACCCACGTGGGCCTCAGCTGTGTCCTGGGAAGTATCTTATCCTTGCCTTAGACAAGACTGAAATCAAGTCTCAGTCATTTTCTAGAGGAACCCTGAGTTCTGGCCTCGACCAGCCCCAACCATGGCCTAGATGTCATCAGCCACAGACAAAGATAATCTTTGCAAACAGCAGATCCCCAAATCCCTCAAATATGCTTGACCTTCAGCGAGACTGTCTTTCTGTAATGCTGGGATTAAGCGGTGTAACAGGGTGTAACATACACCGGGAGTGACCAGAACCCAAGTGTCCATGTGAGCATACAAGATGGGACCGGAGGACAGATGTTCCCATCCTGGAGACGTCACACCGACACTAGAGGGAAGCAGAGATGACCAGAGGTCAGACAGGCAGAGACAGGAGGATCGCTGGGACAGGCCCCTTCCCCTGCTTGGCCTGGCCTGCCTAAAGATGGAAAAGATAGAGACCCACAATGGCTGACTTGGGGGGACAGACAGGGTGAGCGCCTCCAAATCAGGGCCGAAGAGAAGCAGGTTCCCTGAGTCAGGGACGAAAGATAAAGTCTGCCAGGGGAGGTGTCTTTGGTACTGTTCTTTCATTGCTGAGACAAAATACCTGACTCCCAGAGTTGAAGGGGAAAGATTTTTTTGACCCCCAGTTTATGGAGGTTTCAGTTCATAGTCGACTGACTCCAAGGCCGGTTGGCTGGCAGAGGGGCATCGGAGAGGGCAGCTGTGACAGGCAGAAGGCAGCAAACCAAGCAGGGACAAGCCAAGCCTCTTCCTGTCCCTTGTACTGTACCCGGAGGCCGTGACAGGAGGACACCTAACAAGATAACCCAGCTGGACTAAAACCCAGGGCTTAGAGGGCGGGCGAGGGAAGACCCCACCGTGCCTGGGTCGTGGTGCTCTGCCTCACCCGGACCCCAGACATGGCTGGCATGTTGGGAAAGGGTCAGCCTGAGGGTTAGGGTTAGCAACCTGGCCTTTCCAGGAGACCTGGGGGACTGGCCAGATTCACAGTCACAGCAACCTCCCCGCCAATCTTATTTCATCCCAGGGACTTAAGGACTCCAAACAAAACAAAACAATGGACAGAGTAGAATTTAATTGCTGGCAGGTGATGGGACACCAGGGGGAGATGGATCCCTAACATAGACCATCACCATCATCATCATCACCACCATCACCACCACCACCTGCCTGTTGCTCCCACATGCAAGGAGCACTATCTACACTGACACACTGCCTACAACTGCCAGCAAGGTCCCCAGGGAGGAGCACAGCCACAAGACAGCTAGTGCCCTCCTACTGGGTTTGTGTTTGTTTGTTTATTTTGGGGGGGTTGTTTTTGTTTTGTTTTGTTTTGGTACCAGGGATCAAACTCACAACCTCTCGCTTGCCAGACGGGCACTTGTGCCACTGAGCTGCATCCCCAGCCCCAGACAGACCTTTCTTTCATGCAGATGAATGTGCCTTTGCTGACATGCAAAATGTGATCGCTAGATGCTAAATACAAGTTTAACCTGCGAGTGTCAAATATCTAAAAGTTTTTTTTATTTTATTTTTATCGGTACCAGGGATCGAACTCAGGACCGCCTGCTTGTAAGGCAGGTGCTTATGCCGCTGAGCTAAATCCCCAGCCCCAAATATCTAAAAGTTTAAACAAAATGTAGTCTTGTCCTGCTGCTAGGACAGACAGCCTAGGTGATTAGGTAGATAACATGGGTGCCTCGGACGCTTCTTTGCCCGAGTGCCCAGGGTGGAATTCCTCAAGTTAATCGTTATTTCTATCTATCTCTAAAGGTGATTTTCTTTACAGCTGGAAAAGAAGAAATACTCCAGCTACTTCTGACTCTCTTTCTATCACAAAGCTATGCTTCCCCCTCTAAACGCTCCTGTGCCTGTCACGGCTGAGACCACCTGTAACTTGCACGTGTAAGTGTACCACAGCAGCGAGTTCACAGTTCCCTAGGAGGGTGAAATCACGCAGCAGTGCGGGGCGGAGAGGCTGCTGGAGTTTGTCTGCTGCTCTCCAGGTGGCGTCCACCTGCGCTGGAGCGAGATCTGCTCCAGGGATGCCTTGAGGGATGGAAATCCAGTAGAAGTTAAAGGGATGAGTGGTCGTTACCTTTTGTATTTCAGACAGCAGGGGCTCAAAACAGAGTCAGGTCAGCCCTGGAACACCCGCTTAAGCCCTGGAAGGTGTTCGACCCTTACATCTTGAAAAGGAGCCGTCTGACATTTTTCTGCACATGTGCATGGGGTGCAGAGGGGATTACGCTGCTATCTTACAACTCGAATCATGCTGTTAAATAAAATAGGGCAAGTGCTTGGAATTGTCTTGTGTCCAGATGGTCTTTGCATTGAGACATAGTCCTTATTTACCGTCAGAATGTAAATGTGGGCTCCTGGGAAACCAGGCACGTTGGGTCCACACAGCACTCACTATGGCTGTGCTGCTCTCCCTAACCTTTGGGACCTGGGAGGAGGAGGTTTCTAAGCCAGCTTCACTCAAAGCCTCACCCACTCTCACTAGTCCAAGGCCCGCCCTTTCGGTCCCGAGGGTGGGGCTTCTAGTCCAGCCCTAGTCTGGGTCTCTATGGGCCGTACCTATCCTTAGCTCTCCTGCAAGGTCCTGAAGGCCAGTGTCCATTGCAGCAGGAATGTAGGTGTCTTTTCCTTTCAGTGAACTAAAACAGACAAAAGCTAGATCTAGGAAAATTCTCAGATGACCCTGGTGAGCACGCTGGGGTCCCTGGGGGCTTTCAGGATGCCGGGGTCACCGAATGTGCAGGGTGACCTCGGTGGAGGACGGAGAGAGCAGAATGGGAGACGGTGGAGAAGCTGAGAGGGAAGAGAGGAGGAGGGAGCTGAACAGGGCTGAGGGGCCCTGAGTACCTGGGGCACTGAGGACCACGCGGAGGGTGGCACAGGGTGACGATGGGGAGGACGGGGCCAAACCACATCACAAAGCTCTGAGGACAGGTGCGCACCGTCTGAACCACGAACTTCAGCCCCTGCTCGGTGGACGGCATCTGCATGCAAGACAGGGCTGCTCAGCTCCCGAGACGGCTCGCTTCGGCGTCCCCAAGGGGCACCAGATCGCTGGTGAGAGCGGATTCCTGGTGCATCTGGGAGGATGACCCGGAAGGCAGGGACGCACTGGCATCGGAGCCTCAGGGGCCACCCTGTCCCAGCTGGGTTGTGTCATCCAGTTTACGGAAGGTTCACGTAGAAAGCCAGGCAGAGGGCGGGCAAAGTCCCTCCTGCCCTTGACGTCAGAACTCCAGGTCCTTGAGGTTCCACACTGCAAGATTTGCACCAACAGCTCCCGCCCCGCCCAGACCTGGGGTCCCACCCATGTTCCTCAGAGGGCAGGAATTAGGCTGTCAGCCTCCCCAAGTCTCCAGCTGGCAGAGGGTGGGACCTCTTAGTCTGCAAAATCACGTGAAGCAATTCTCAGGATCATAACCCCCACGTGTTTCTTAGACACCCACATAGGCGTCTCTGGGTGTACACACGTGTGAGCAGGTGTGTCAGGAAGAGCAATATAACTGGAGTCTGTCCCATGAAGAAGAGCAGGAAGTGAGTCCCTGCCTCTCCCCTGCCACAGCTGTGTCCCTGTCTTGGAAGTGGAAGGCTGGAAGCTAAAACCCAAAGCCCGAGCCCGGCTGGCCCAGACATGGGGTCCGGGCAGGCGGCAGAGCCTCAGAACTGTGCGAGACCAGAAGAGGAGGATTTGAGAAGAGAGAGGGGTTTGCATGCTGCGGAACCCACCTGGGGAGCCCCAACAGGTGCAGCTGTGTTAGAAGCACAACCCCCAAAAAGAATACTAAGCGGACCACACGGAGGACAGGGCTGTGTGACCCGGGATGGGGATGAGCTTATGGCAGAAAATGTGTTAGTCACCTTCGGAGTCAGCAGCAAAATGCATGAGCATTCTCCTGGCTCCCCAGGTCTCACCTGGACACCCAGATCCCAGATCCCCTTCCCGAGCCCTCAGGAACCCGTTCACCTCGATGCCACCCCACTCACCTGACCCAACTGACCCAAGAACCAGTTCCGTTTGGGGGGCTGAGGGAAACGTCGGAGGTGCTGGAGGTTTGTGTAGAAGGTGTAGGTCCAGGCCAGAATTCGGGTCAGGAGCCAGAAGACCCCAAAGATTACTGGCAACAACCAAGGAGAGGCTGCTGCCAGCCCCAGCCCCAGCCAGGACTCGCTCAGCTGCGGCATCCTGCAGGGCGGGGGAGACGGAGGAGGAGCGTGAAACCCAGGACCTCAGGGTCCCCAGGGCAGGTATGAGGAGGAAGACCCTGGGGGAGGAGGGGGAGGAAGAGGAGGAGGAGAAAGCACAGTGAACAAAACCAGGAAGAAACGAACAGATTTGAGCACTGACCTGTTGTGTAAATAGGTAACTGAGAGCTGAAACCCAAAACGCGCTGATTTCCTGGCCACTCACTGGCAGGAGCTGCCCTCGCCTCCACCAGGGCCCTCCCAGGCTACACGAGGCCAGGGAGACAGGACCCGGCCGGCCAATCCACTCAGACCCCGCCGCTTACACCTCGCCTGGGCGGGCAGCCAACATGAGCAACAGGACCAGCTGGACCCAACTTAGCGTGCCTCGGCTGGACTTCTGATTTTTATAACTTAGCACATCACAGAGGGGTGGGGACAGGACTGGGGAGAGGGCAAAGGTCACTGTGAGCCTCACAGATCCAAACACCCTGCCCTTTTAAGACCAGGGTGTCAGAGGCAAAGTACAGACAGAAGAGATCAGGTGCCAGGAGACCAGGGCCAGCCCAAGCCCGGTCCCAGATCATCTCCCAGCCTCCGCTCCGTGTGTGGGCTGGGAGGGCGGCGTGCACCGTCTCTCAGGGCAGGATTAGCAGGCTCAGGGATGGGAGCCCCGGGCCTGTGAGCTGCACAGCCTGGCAGAGACCATGTCCTGCCTCCTGCCATCCCGGGGCTCTGCAGGGTTCAGCTTGGAGTCTTACGAGCAGGGGCAAAGAAAGAATCCGCCGAGGTAAAACTCAGATCAGATTTGAGACATAAAAGGCAGACCCTTGAGAAGATGCCTGAAGGCTGGTCAGAGGACCAGGGAGGGAGGAAGAAGTGAAGCCAGGAAGTGAGGCTGAGTCCTCTGTGAGTCAGCTCACAGTAAGCAGGCTTAATGCAGAACAGGCTGCAGACAGGAAGGGGACACAGGGTGGCATCTTTTTTTTGAGACAGGGTCTCACTGTGCAGTTCAGGCTGGCCCTGAGCTCACTTTGTAGCCCAGGCTGGCCTCAAACACACGGCAGTCCTCCTGCCTCAGCCTCCTGAGTGCTAGGACAACACTTGTGCACCACCACGCCTACCTACATGATGGCACCTTTCCAGACCCATTTTACAGAAGAGGAAACAGGCTCAAAAAAAGTGAGCCTCTAGCCCAAGTAGCAGGAACCCAAAGACATGGGAGTGTCGCCATGAGGTTTGATTTCCATTCCCTTGTTCGCCATGAGGTTTGATTTCCATTCACGGGGGCGACGTCTTATTATTCTAGATTTATAATGAAGTTTCGGGCAGCGCTGTGGCCCTAGAGGAGAAACAGCTTGAGGATGTTTTTAACATCGCCTGGCTCACTTCTGCACTAGCACTGCTCCAAAGAGCAGACCTCGTGTTCCTGCAGTTTGCTCTGGGATCAGCATGAGACGCTGGCTCTTAGCATAGCTGCCCAGAGGGAAGGTGGGGAGACATAGTCCTCCTTACACTGCGTTATGGTTTGTACTCAGATGCACCCCCAAAGCCTCATGCTCACGTATACATGTGGCTGGATTAGGGCGTCTGAGTGTGGGTTAGAGATGCGATCCTGGGATTAAGGTGTGGGTAATGGAAGCCCCAAGTGGCTGTGGCTGGCACCAAGCTGGATAGAAGATACAGGAAGAGAGAAGAGGCGGGCTCCCCGCCACCGCTGTCCGCTGCCCGGGCTCTTCTGTCTTCCTGCCTGCTGTGCCACGGACTGTCTCCTCCGCCCCGCCTCTCCGCCAGGCTGCCCTGCCTTGGAACTAGGAAGCTGCCTACTGAACCTCTACAAACCTCGAACTGAATAAACCTTTATCTCCCTTAACGTGGGATGTTGGGTGTTTTGTCTCAGCAATGAGAAAAGTAAGTAGGACTCAGTGGTAGGATGTTAGGAAGCGCCAAACCTCCCACTACCCGCCGACCTCCATCTCTAGACGGGAGACTCAGGCTCTGGTCCTGGAGCCCTCAGCGGGACGATGCAAACCCACCTTTGAGACCTCACCACCGCCCTGGCAGGTTCTTTTGTGTCTAGGTGCCTTACTCACTTTGATTGTAGCTGAGACACAACACCCAACACCTGTATCTTAAAGGCAGAGAGATTTATTTGGGCTTAAGGTTTGTAGACGTTTCAGCCCATAGTCAGAGGACTCCATTGAAAGGGTGTCAATAGCAAGACCTCTGTAAACTCACCAGTGGACAGCCTCACAGGGGGCCGTCATGCCCCCATGACCCAATTACCCTCCAAAAGCCCTGTAAGATTTTGGGGGGACATCCAGATGAAAACCACGACACAGGTCAGGGGCAAGCCAGGTTGGATAAGCTGGGCCAGGTCCTGGAGCCACCCTAGCGGCTGAATTCACTGCACATCTACCACACACCCGGGGGACCCAGGCAGCCCGGAGCAGGTGTGTGGGTCACCAACACCATCCCTGACCCAGTTTTAAGTCCTTTGAGTGTACTGGGCTTTTTTTTCCTCCTTATTTTTGGATCAAAGGAGAATTCCACTGCGAGTCATCTTGCAGGGAAGAGGCCCCAGGAGGCACCAGCCGCGCTGCACAGAGGTGAGACCGGAGGAAACCAGGAAATGAGTTTAAAAGACCTGGGGGAAGGGCGCCCCGCCTGGGGCAGCCAGGCTCGGGGTTGCATGCTGTTCCCGTATTTTCCAGCAGATGGCGCTGCGCCCCCACTCAGCGGAGGAGGAGACCCCGCAGCAACCAGGCGGGCACCACTGCCGGGCTAGATTGATCCAGGTGGGGGTAGCAGAGTCCTAGGGGCGCTGCCCACTCTCTCCATCCGCTCACCAGCATGATCCTGGGAGGAATCCCAGAGCATGTTTGGAATAAGAAAGGAGACAGTCACTACTCCAAGGCCATGAGCTAATACTTTGGGTCTAAAAGGTCTTTCCTGGAAGAAAGACGCTTCTCCCATACATGGTGCTGGGAAAACTGGCTTTCCACGGGCTGAAGGATAAACCTAGGCCCGTGTCACCGTGCACCCAACTAAAGTCAGACTGGATCAAGGGTCTGAACATTAAAACAGAAACACTGGGGCTGGGGATTTAGCTCAGCGGCATAAGCGCCTGCCTTGCAAGCAGGCGGTCGTGAGTTCGATCCCCGGTACCAGTTTAAAAAAAAAAAAAAAAAGAGTGGAAAACAACACTGAGAAACTGGGAATGATCAAAAAAGCAAGAGGACAAAGAACTGAAAGCTAATCCTGAGGAATCCGGTGTGGAGATCTGCATGACCCGCCTCTCTGCTCCTCACTGTGAAAGAGGCCTGGCCAGCTCCACGCTGAGAAGACGGTGCCATGGAGGCAGCTTGGTGAACAGGAATCAGAGCAGCCTGGCATCAGAGAAGAGTTTGAGCTGTACGAATAATCCCGTGCAGCACGCTGGCCAGAGGAGGGGATCCGCCTCTGTCAGGCACCCCAGCGCATTGCCCAGAGCGCCCTCACCTGGATCACCCTGACTGCTCTGTACATTCTACTGACAACATCTGCAGCGGGAGAATCCTGGGAGATTCTCAGTTCTAGGACTGCTTGTGGAGGGGCTGAAGCTGGAGACTGATCATACCTGTGGGGTTAAAGCAAAGTCAGCCCTGGGAATACGGAGAGCCTGAGAATTCTGCAAACTTGTGTATCCTGAGAATGCATGAGGGCCAGTCTTAAAGACATCCTTGAATTCTTCTGCTCTAGCTACTTGCTTGGGAACCTGCTCTGGCCTTGTCGGCGACCTTCTCTTGACCCGGAGAGCACCAACACTACTGCCACCGCCTGGAGGAGGGAGCAGCCCTGCGGAGGAGGTTTGAGGCCTACCTAGGCCATAGGGGTGACCTTCTTTCAGCCCGGGGAGCTTTGCCACCCACAGAGGTGGATGGTTACATAACATCCGATCCCCAGGAGAGTATGAGATCCTTGCTCTAGGTGGTTGGGGCCCGCTCGGCTTGTGGCCACACTAGATGGGGCTTAGTGGGATTTGGACCTGCCTGGACCCTGCCTGGTGACCTTCTTTCGGTCCGGGGAGCTTTGCTGCCAGAGGGAGGAGCTGTGAGGCTTGAGGAGGCTTTAGGCCTACCTGAGATGCGCCTGGTAACCTTCTTTTAATCCGGGGGCCTCGCTGCCCAAGGAGGGAGCTACGCTACCAGAGGAGTCCCAGGAGCCCAGGACATAGGAGACAATTTCCGACACGCCCAGGGCAAGTTTTGGTGCAACACTTGAAACACGGAAATATAAGAAAATGACACAACAAAAGACCAAAAATGCAATCTCAAACATCCAGCCCATCCCAAGAAAGCCTAGGAGCCATGTACATAGAGGAAAATAATATGCCATATACCTGAAATAATAGTAACTGAAATAAAGAAGCAACTCCAGGAAGCTTTAATGGAATTCAAACTAGAAATAATCTTCCAGGTAAAAGAAGAAATGATAAAAGTAATGACAGAGATGCTGAACACATCTAACACAGTTTAAAAATCAGAGGAACAAAACAAAAAGAGTCCCTGGATGAACAATATAAGAAACAAACAGAGTACTTAAAGCAGATTCAAAGAGATATACAGGAAATCAAAAATTACATTGAAAGTTGTCAAAACCACCTCAGTGAAAGTGAAGGTAGAATTTCAGACCTCAAAGACAAGATTGCAGCCAGTGAACAGGAAAGGAAAAATCTTTTAAAAATAACAAGGAATCAGGAAATAACAATCCAACAGCTGCAAGAAGACTCAAAGAAAAACAACATCAGATTGACAGGGATAAATGAAAAAGAAGGGGACGGCACAAATGATATCAAGAGGCTATTTACGAAAGTAATACCTAAAAGTTTCCCAAACATGAGAACGGAAACTGACATTAGGATTAGTGAAGCATATAGAACTCCAAATAGCCATAACCAAAACAAAACTACACCCAGACATATAATAATCACCATCCTAGAAATCCAACATAAAAATATAATATTAAAAGCTGTCAGAGAGAAAAGACAGATCACCTATAAAGGAAAACACTATCAGAATCACAGAAGACTTCTCAGCACAAACAATGAAGTCAAGAAAAGCCAGGAGTGAAGTATTTCAGATCCTAAAGCAAAAGGATTTCCAACCTAGACTGAAGTATCCTGAAAACCTGTCCTCCAAAATGGATGGAGAAATAAGATACTTCCATGACAAAGAACAGCTGAAGAACTTCATGATCACCAAGCCAACCTTGCAAAGAATACTGAAAGTTTAGATACACTTAGAAAGAAACCAATAAACAAGGCAGACAACTAAACAGAATGGAAAGATAAAGATGCAACAGCAGAAAGATAACATGTCAACAATAAACCAATATGTAACAG